CGCTGCTGCCATTGGTGTTTCTGTTGAAGATGTCATTGGTCCCGCTGGTGCCATTTGTGATGCTGTTGGCTGTGCTGCTGGTGATGTCATCGCTCACACTGGTCATATTGATGATGTCATTGGCCACATTGATACCCTTGGTGATATCGTTGGCCGTGCTGGTCATAGTGATGACATCATTGAGCGTGTTATTGCTGTTGGTGATGTCATTGGGCACACGGATGCCATTGGTGATGCCGTTGGCCATGCTGGGCTTGTTGATGACATCATTGGCCACCTCAGTGCTTTTGATGACACCATTGACCACGTTGGTGCCATTGATGATGTCGTTATCCATGCTTGTCGTATTGATGATGTCATTAGCCACGCTTGTCGTATTGATGATGTCATTGGCCACACTGATGACGTTGGTGATGTTGTTGGCCACGCTGCTCTTGGTGATGACATCATTGGCCACCTCATTGCTTTTGATGATACCATTGGCCGCGTCGCTGCCATTGATGACATCATTGGCTGTATTGGTGCTGTTGATGATGCCATTGGCCACGCTTGTCATATTGATGATGTCATTAGCCACAACAATGCCATTGGTGATGTCATTGGCCATGCCGGTCTTGTTGATGACATCATTGGCCACAGTTATTTGATGATGACATTGGCCGTGTTGGTGCCATTGATGACGTCATTGGCCGTGCTTGTCATATTGATGATGTCATTGGCCACACCGATGCCACGGGGTGATGCCGTTGGCCACGCTGCTCTCGGTGATGACATCATTGGCCACCTCAGTGCTTTTGATGATACCATCGGCCGCGTCGCTGCCATTGACGACGTGCGTTGGCGCCGTTGATGATATCATTGACTGCGTCGGCGCCGTTGATGATGTCATTGACCGCGTTGGTGCTGTTGATGATATCATTGACCGTGTCGGCACCGTTGATGATGTCATTGACCGCGTTGGCGCCGTTGATGATATCATTGACTGCGTCGGCGCCGTTGATGATGTCATTGACCGCGTTGGTGCTGTTGATGATATCATTGACCGTGTCGGCACCGTTGATGATGTCATTGACCGCGTTGGCGCCGTTGATGATATCATTGACTGCGTCGGCGCCGTTGATGATGTCATTGACCGCGTTGGTGCTGTTGATGATATCATTGACCGTGTCGGCACCGTTGATGATGTCATTGACCGCGTTGGCGCCGTTGATGATATCATTGACTGCGTCGGCGCCGTTGATGATGTCATTGACCGCGTTGGTGCTGTTGATGATATCATTGACCGTGTCGGCACCGTTGATGATGTCATTGACCGCGTTGGCGCCGTTGATGATATCATTGACTGCGTCGGCGCCGTTGATGATGTCATTGACCGCGTTGGTGCTGTTGATGATATCATTGACCGTGTCGGCACCGTTGATGATGTCATTGACCGCGTTGGCGCCGTTGATGATATCATTGACTGCGTCGGCGCCGTTGATGATGTCATTGACCGCGTTGGTGCTGTTGATGATATCATTGACCGTGTCGGCACCGTTGATGATGTCATTGACCGCGTTGGCGCCGTTGATGATATCATTGACTGCGTCGGCGCCGTTGATGATGTCATTGACCGCGTTGGTGCTGTTGATGATATCATTGACCGTGTCGGCACCGTTGATGATGTCATTGACCGCGTTGGCGCCGTTGATGATATCATTGACTGCGTCGGCGCCGTTGATGATGTCATTGACCGCGTTGGTGCTGTTGATGATATCATTGACCGTGTCGGCACCGTTGATGATGTCATTGACCGCGTTGGCGCCGTTGATGATATCATTGACTGCGTCGGCGCCGTTGATGATGTCATTGACCGCGTTGGTGCTGTTGATGATATCATTGACCGTGTCGGCACCGTTGATGATGTCATTGACCGCGTTGGCGCCGTTGATGATATCATTGACTGCGTCGGCGCCGTTGATGATGTCATTGACCGCGTTGGTGCTGTTGATGATATCATTGACCGTGTCGGCACCGTTGATGATGTCATTGACCGCGTTGGCGCCGTTGATGATATCATTGACTGCGTCGGCGCCGTTGATGATGTCATTGACCGCGTTGGTGCTGTTGATGATATCATTGACCGTGTCGGCACCGTTGATGATGTCATTGACCGCGTTGGCGCCGTTGATGATATCATTGACTGCGTCGGCGCCGTTGATGATGTCATTGACCGCGTTGGTGCTGTTGATGATATCATTGACCGTGTCGGCACCGTTGATGATGTCATTGACCGCGTTGGCGCCGTTGATGATATCATTGACTGCGTCGGCGCCGTTGATGATGTCATTGAC